AATTGATATTAATTATTAAAATATTCAATATTATTAATACATTATTATTTATGAGCTTTACTTTTACAGAAAAATGATTGTTTTTCAAGTGTACTTATAGTTAAAATTACTATACTCAAAGAATTAGTACAATTTGTATAAAGCAATTATTTTAAAAAATAGATTAATGCTATTGAAAATATTATAAATTTATTCTTCGACAATAGATTCAATAGAAAAATATGTAAGAAAGTATTTAATTAGAAATTACATATTGCTAGTTTTTAGAACACCTGTTCTTTGCATTATGTGTTAAATTTTATGGTATATCCGCCTTTAATGTCGTTGTCATTATAACCTGCGGTACTTCTGTTCTTTGAAGGGGAAGAAACAACTAATTTTGAAATCTGTAAGTTTAATAAAATGAATAAAATTTGTATGTTTTAGATAACTTTGTAGTGACTTTGTGTGCATGATATTAGGCGTTATTGAACAAAGTACTTTAACATGTGTTTAAGAGTCGCCGTATATACACACTAATTCTTCGTGTATAATTGCTTGTGTGATTTATATTACATCATTGTATGATATTTTGTTGCAGTATTCTTTGAATCATGAGCCGTTTTTTTGCAACTGGGTCAGACTCTGAGTCTGATAGTGCTTCAGAGGAGGAACAGATTCAAAGAGCACCAACTACAGCTTTTACTGTAAATTGAAGTATTATAGTTCCTCAAATTTCTCTTTCCTCTGTTCTACAGATATATAACATTAGAATTTGTTATAGTTCAGTGATGAAGAAGAAGAAACTAAGAGGGTAGTACGGTCAACAAAAGAAAAAAGATATGAGGAAATTGCCAATCTCATCAAACTCATAAGAAATTACAAAAAGATTAAAGATATGAGCAGCATGCTGTCCAGTAAGCAGATACAGTATATAGTATTATTGCACGAAATAGAATAATATGTCCAGTTAATTAAAATTATTTGCTTTGTAATCTTAGGTTTTGAAGATTTGATGCGTGCCTATCAAAAGGCATTAACTGTAATAGCAAAGGAAGAAGGTGGTCAGACACCACGCTTTTATATTAGATGTCTAGTAGAAATGGAAGACTTTATAAATGAAGTATGGGAAGATCGTGAAGGACGCAAGAGTATGTCCAAAAATAATTCAAAATCATTGACCTCATTACGTCAGAAGCTTCGTAAATATAATAAAGATTTTGAAGAGGACATAGCCAAATTCAGAGAAAATCCAGATCAGGATGATGATGAAGAGGAAGAGAAACGTGCATATAAATTAAAAATATTTATATATTTGTAAAAATTTTTATATAAAAATTAATTGGTGTTAAAAATTTTAGCTGAAGAAGTTATGGAATCTGAAGAAGAGGATGATAGTGCAGTTGCTTTCAAAAAGGCAGGCTCTGAAGCAAGTGAACCAGATATATCAAAGTTTAAGGTTTGTGATATGCACCCAACTCCTTTTCTGTTCTTTAAATTATACAGTATTTAAATAAAACTTTAGAAAAGTGTGGCTGATGGAGAAGAAGGTAGTGAAAGTGAATCTGACTGGGGTAGTTCTTCAGACACTGAAAGTACAAGTAGTGAGGATGAAGGTCAATATCAAAACATACGTGAACGTTTTATCAAAAGGTCTGTTTTTCATGTAATCGCGTAAAATTAATAAGAAACAACGATTATGTTATGAATATATTTCTAAACAGAGTGACAGATAAAGAGGAAGAAGAAGATAAGGCGAAACGGAAAGAACAACGAAAGGAACGTAAAGAAAAGGAAAGAAAAAAGAAGAAAGACGAAGATGATGGAGAGGGTGAATGGGAGACTGTTAAGGGCGGTGTGGCTATTCCATCTGAAAAGCCAAAAATGTTTGCCAAGGATGCTGAAATTAATGTGGCTGCTGTTTTGAAGAAACTTTCTGAAATTATCGCAGCACGCGGTAAAAAGCGTACGGATAGAAGGGAACAAATCGAACTTTTACACGAATTGCAGTCCATAGCTGATACGCACAATCTTGGACCAGCAGTAGCCGTGAAAATTAAGTTTTCTATCGTATCTTCCATTTTCGATTATAATCCTAAAGTATCAGATGCAATGAAACCTGAGTATTGGTCAAAGTTCGTATCTATTTCAGACTTTTAAAACAGACTGCGCTGGTTTATGAATAAATAAATAAATAATTTTTATATAGGATATTGGAACGTATAACAGAAATGCTCGACATGTTGCTGAACACAAAAGATATGGTAATTGCTGAGGTTGTGTCTGAAGATTCAGAGGAGTTCGAAACACCTCCATATAAAATACATGGATGCGTGTTAACATTAGTGGAACGTTTGGACGAGGAATTTACAAAATTATTGAAGGAATGTGACCCACATAGTAACGAATACGTGGAAAGGTATGTATATATTTTAAAATATTTTTAAATCGTAAATAGAGCATGAAAAAAATATTTGCTTCTTCAGATTGAAAGATGAGAAACAAGTGTCTACTATAATAGACAAAGTTCAGGAATACTTAGAAAGACAAAGAACTGTTTCCGAGCTTTGCCGCGTCTATCTCCGTAAAATTGAGCATCTATACTATAAATTTGATCCTAATGTTCTTAAACAGAAGGAGGTTAGTATGTCGCTATTAATAATTTAAGCTTGAAAATAGAAAGACAATATCATTTTTAGGGAGAACTCGGTCTTGATATTATCACATCTGTACAAGTTATGGAGAAACTTTGTAAATATGTTTACGCTCACGATGGAACTGACAGACTGAGAACTCGCGCGATTCTTTCTCATATTTATCATCATGCTCTCCATGATAATTGGTTCCAAGCACGCGACCTCATTCTGATGTCCCATTTACAAGAAACGATTCAGCATTCCGATCCAGCTACTCAAGTACCTATATTTTATAGTAAAATATACCCTTCTCCCCTCTCCTCTTTTTTTTTACAAATCTACTTAATTTTTTCATTTATAGATTTTATACAACAGAACCATTGCTCATTTAGGCCTGTGTGCTTTCCGTCACGCGAACATCAAAGATGCACATAATTGTTTAGTCGATTTAATGGTAACTGGTAAGGTGAAGGAACTGTTAGCGCAAGGTCTTCTTCCTCAGAGGCAACACGAACGTAGTAAAGAGCAAGAGAAGATTGAGAAACAAAGACAAATGCCTTTCCACATGCATATTAACCTGGAACTTCTCGAATGCGTCTATCTAGTTTCTGCGATGCTTATCGAAATCCCATACATGGCTGCACATGAATTCGACGCAAGGAGAAGAATGATTTCCAAGACGTTTTATCAGCAGTTGAGGTCAAGTGAACGTCAATCATTAGTTGGTCCTCCAGAATCAATGAGAGAACATGTTGTGGCTGCAGCAAAAGCTATGCGTAATGGAAACTGGCTGGCTTGTAATAATTTTATTATCAATGAAAAGATGAATGCCAAAGTCTGGGACTTGTTCTACCAGGCAGACAAGGTTCGTGACATGCTCACGAGATTAATCAAAGAAGAAGCATTGAGGACATATCTATTCACTTATTCTCACGTCTACGATTCAATCTCCATGCCAAAATTGGCGGAAATGTTTCAGTTGAAAAGACCAGTTGTGCATTCCATCATAAGTAAAATGATCATCAACGAGGAACTTATGGCATCTTTGGATGATCCCACAGAAACTGTTGTCATGCATCGTAGTGAACCCAGCCGCCTTCAATCACTGGCGTTGCAGCTCACAGATAAAGTGAACAACTTTGTCGATTCTAACGAACGTATCTTTGAAATGAAGCAAGGTAGGTTGCGGGTAAAAATTACGGGCTATTTTTAAGAATTTTTTCTAAGTAAAGTATAAATAATTGTTCATATCATAGGAAACTTCTTTGCGAGAGGAAATCAAGGGAACTTCCGCGACAGGCAGAACTACAATCGGCAGGGACAAGATTGGGGTCGTCAGAGACGCGATCGTGATCGAGATCGTAACAGAGAGGAGAGTCGAAATTATTGAAACAGGACATCATTAAATGTTATTTCTGTGGGTGTTTAACAGTGGCTTATTATTGTACCGTGTATACACTCATGTAAATAATGTTAAAAATAACAGTATATTTATCATAAAAAAATAAATAATATTAATTATTCCGGTTTTTTAATTATCATCTTAGCATTAAGATGTTCATATATCTTGTATCTTCTCGAGTATTTTATTACCTGTTATTATACTGTCTGATGTTAAAACTAGACGAATTCCAGTTGCTTTTTCTATAAATCTGCAAGCAGTTATTTCAGCATAAGTAATGCCACCAATAATGCATATTACTACCATTTTTGGTAATAATGAGCCACGTTGACCACTTATAACGCAGTTTGATAAATTTGCTAATACTTCGAGACTCTTGGGATCCTTTTCTTGATTTACAACGGTATTTAATGCTTGAGCCTATAAGGACATGAATTTTGTCAGATCTATTTAAGTATTTATGGACTAATTAATTTAATTAAAAGTATTACTAACAATTACAGGTATGTAAGCATTGCTAAACACGTAGCTAGGACACGAACGGCCTTTTTGTTCCGTTTGCTTTAAGTAACTGGGTAACAGCTTCAACTTCTGTGCATTGTTGTTCCATTCGCTGCTCCAATTTGGCAGTTTGTGTAAAATATTCTCTGTCCTACACTTCAACAAGCCTGTACTTTGTAATTTATAGAACAGAGGTATATGCTTGTAACCATGAGCGTGAAGATGAAGCTTTTGCATGGTGTCTAATTCATTCTGAGTAATTCCGTCGCTCGCAATTGATAGTAGACACAATAGACGTAGAGTTCTCAATGGATGGTCATCTGAAAAATTGATTTTGGTTTCAAATGCCATAATTTTACATTTAAAAATAAATACTCATAT